ATGGATTGTTTGGTATGTTTAGGATGATAGCTGGAGGCATGCAGGTATGTTTATTGGTCAGTAGGTTTCCGGTATAAGGTGGTGACTATGCATCCATTGTGTATTTTTACAGCAGTGTCCAGAAAATGTATTTCTTGCATAGATTGGTTGATTATCAGGTTGATGGTGGGTTGAAAGTTGTTGAATGCCTGGTGGAATATGTCCAGAACTTCTTTACCATGTGTCCAGACAATAAAATGTCATTAATGTAATGCAGGTATAAGAGAGGTATGAGTGGGTGGGAGTTTAGGAAGCATTTCTCCAAGTCAGCCATAAGGATGTTAGCATACTGTGGGGCCGTGCAGGTGTCCATGGCTGTACCATTGATCTGGAGGAACAAGTTGTCGCCAGGTCTGAAGTTGTTATGGGTGAGAACAAAATGGCACCGTTTGGTGGCAAAGTCAGCTGTGTTGGATGTCAGAAATCTTTCTGTGGAATGTTGGTATCACTTCCGGTGACGTGCACGCCGGGGAGGGGTTTTCCCCGGGCCCCGATTCCCCGGCGTCGGGGAACGGAGCCTCCAGGGCGGGGGATTTCCGCCCTACCGGGGGAGTTGGGAGCCCTAGATGGCATAGGATCTCAGAAGAGAGTCCATATATCCAGATACCCCCACGGTGATAGTGTCTATGCCTGAGACAATGGGGTGTCCTGGGTTGCCAGGTTTGTGTATTTTGGGTAGAAGATAAAAGGTATCTGGTCGAGGTTCCAGTGGTGTGTCTGAAAGGATTTGTTCCTGAATTTGTAGGGTAATACCTTTAGAATCCTTAAGGGTTTTTTGTATTTCTGTGTGGGGTCTGAGTCCAGTTGTTTGTAAAAAGCAGTATTTGAGAGTTATCTTTGAGCCTCCTGGATGTAGTCTGATCTATTCATGATGACAACAGCTCCACCTTTGTCTGTCTCTTTAATTATAATATCTGGATTGTTCCTGAGACTTTCTATGGCCTTCCTTTCAGCTGACCCTCCTTTTCAATCCTGCAAATGCCACAGTAGTAGGAGCTGAAGAGTGTTCCCACACATACAAACTATTTAGAAGGACTGCCACTGCACAATGGCATGCACAATACAAAATATAAGGCTTTTTATATTACAGGCTTAATTTGGTTTACTGTCTTAATTTGTCTTTAATTTACAGGCTTAATTTGGTTTACTCAAAAAGCCTGGAGAACTTGAAAAGAGGTTGATTCTATGAGAAGAGAATTCTCAGCATCTGTGCCAAACTATGGTTTACAGGATTCTTTGGGGAAAGCCATGGATGTTAGATTGGTGTGAAAACTAATATAAACTAGTAGCGCCAATTAACCCTTAGAGAAACTCTTTAATTTTTATGAGATTTTGATCAAAAAAATCTGCCTAGATGGTTCCTCACATAGCAACATGAAATTTAATGTAGTAATTTGGCATACAAGTCCAAGCATTTTTCCCAAGACAGACAGTTGCGGCAGTTTCTCTTGCAATGAAGATTCTATGTACCCCACAAGCATTTCAGCACTGTGATTAGCTGCTCTAATACATATTCAGCTCTGACTGTCTTGCAGCCGACTGTTGCAGCTTCTGTATAGGATTCTAGGTATTTGAAAAAAGTTAACTAAGTTAATAACAACATTCAACAACCAAATTGAACAAAACCAGCAGAGAGGAATACAACAGCCACCCTTTCCCTTCTAATTTGAGTGCATTCCAGATAGCACAGATGAAAAATACCCATTTTAAAAACATACCTGAGAGGACCACTCAGGCCCCATCTCCTCAGTCCCTTGCAGAACCACGGGGAAACAAGCCGAGCGCATGCAGCAAGAAGCAAAAGACACATCACTACTAGGCTGGGGAAATGATTATGCCTTTCTCCAGATGGTGGGGGAGGGTCTTCCTTTGTATCAGAGTTCGTAAGATTGTATTATTTTTGTGATTTTTTGTGTGCGGACTATCACAAACTGGATGCTATTATCCAAGCTGATGTTTACCCTGTGTGAAAAACAGATTGACTACAAGACAAGGGGCTGTGGCTGTTAGCATTTTGGATCACATAAAAGTGTGGTGGTTGTTCCCATTTTGTGCCCCGGCCAAGTCTACCTTCACAACACATCTAGGCTTATTCAAATTCATTCAGACTCCGTAATGCTCATGATTTTTCAGAAGATGGTGAATAATCTGCTAAACAGGCTAAGGTCATATATTCTAATCTAACCTATCTGGACAATGGGGCTCCAATACTTGGGAAAATTGTCTTAGCATGTAGTCATAGGATGTTCTAATATAAAAACACATAAATGCCTGACAGCTGGAAGGTGGGTTTGGGCTACATGGTGGGGCAGGAACTGATCCAACATGTAGTGTTGGCATACTTCCACCTCTAAGAAGCAAATCCAGTCTTCTCAAAGTATGTTGGGTTATTACAGGCTCTTCGTCAAACAGTACAGTGAAATAGCTGCGCTACTCACTGATTAGTATCACAAACACCTTCCACAAGCTGGTTTGAACTCTCAAATAGCTCGCTCGGCTCAATCTGAGCTCATCACAGCTTGGAAGCTAAACAGGGCCAGTCATGGTTAGTACTTGGATGGGAAACCACCAAGGAAGCCAGGCCTTGCTGTGTGGAACCACATCTCTTGCCTGGAATGCCCTGTGGATGGGGTCTCCAAGAGTCACTTGTGCCTCGACAGCACATCCTTCTTCTTGAGCGGTGCCAGCAATCTTTTGACACCCCCAAGGCCCGGCTTGTAACCAGTCTTAGTATGCTGGGACCTGACTTTCACAAACTTCAACACTGATGCTTCAGACAGGGCTTAGGATATGTACGTATTCTTCCACAAAGTACATGGTAAACAATTCCATGCTATTGTTTTTCCTAAGCAAAAAAACTACTGCCACAGCAGAAAAATTACCCAACCATAGAAAAGGAATGTCCTGCCATTGTTCAGACTTATGGAGAAGCTGCCACCCTATGTATGAGGCCACCCTTTCCATCTACAAATAGACCATTCCCATCTCATGTGATTATGAACACTCAAAATAAAATAAAAAATAAATTAAATGTTGGCGCATTGCTTGCACGACTAACATTCACCATGGTCCTGGGAAAGAAAATGTCCTCCAAGATGCATTATTCAGTGAATATTCCTGAACTCAGGAAAACCTAAGATACTGTGTTGACCATTAACCCTTTACAGCTTTTAACCTACTTATAAGTTTAATGTATATGTATATATTTTTTTATTTTTTTATTTATACCATTTCTGTCCCATCTTATTTCCTTGGATTCAAGAAGAGAAGAAGAGGAGGAGGAGGAGATTGGATTTATACCCCGCCCTTCACTACCTAAAGGAGTCTCAGAGTGGCTTAAAAACTCCTTTTCCTTCCCCTCCCCACAACAGACATCCTGTGAGGTAGGTGGGGCTGAGAGAGCTCTGACAGAAACTGCTCTGTTTTCAAGAACAGCTGTGCCAGAACTATGGCTTGCCCAAGGTCATCCAGCAGGTGCAAACGGAGGAGTGGGGAATCAAACCCGGTTCTCCCAGATTAGAGTCTATGCACTTAACCACTACACCAAACTGGCTCAAGGTAGTAAACAATGCAGCAAATCAAGTTGCAAGGTCATAAATAATAGTGCAATTAACATAGATTAAAATACACACATTACCCATTTAAACACAGATTCAAAACACACAAGATCAGCAGCCTCACAACAGCCAAAGCTGCTGGGAAAATTTACCCTCCGCCAAATGCTCTCTGGCATACCTTACATGCCAGTATGTAAAACAAGAGAAGGAGCCAACCCACCGACCCATGCTGCCAGCTCGTTCTAAATGACTGGGCCCACCACAAAAAAGACCTGTGATCTCACTGTAGCTGTATAGACAGACATAAGGGAGGGCACCTAAAAGAAGAGAGAAGCTGAAGAGCACCAGGTGAGTATACTGGAAGAAAAGGTTTCACAAGTAGGAGGCTTTAAAAGTAGCAACCAGTGCTTTGAATTGGGCCAACACCCAAATAGGCAGCCAGTGCAATTGATGCAGCATCGAAGTCATGTGTTCTGAACAGCTGGCCCCAGAGAGGAGCCTTGTTGCCAGATTTTAGATCAACTGGAGTTTCTGCGGTGTCTTCAAAGCCAGTCTCACCCTGAACATATCACAATAATCCAGTCTGGGATTTACAGTGATACAGATCAGCATATCAGAAGGATCAAGAGAAGGGGCAAGCATACAAGCTAGACTTAATTGACAGAAGGCACTCCTAGTGACAGCACCAGCTTGCTTAATCATTAATGAGGTCGGGTCCAGGAGCACCACCCCCACCCGAGCCTGATAAATCCAACCCAGACCAGCATTCCACTCCCCAGCCAGTATTACTTCCATCTCCTCTGGTTTAAGCTTCAGTTTGTTTACCCTCAACCACCTGACCACAACTTTGTGACACTGGCCCAGGACCTTCACAGCTGCCTCTGGTGGCCTAAAGCTGGGTTTACCTGGTGACAACCCACTCCAAAGCCCCTGATGATGCCAGCCAACAGTTTTATATAGATATTAAAGAGCAATCGGGATAAAACAAACCCTTGGGGAAGTGTTCCTCTAATTTCCCCCCCCCCTCCTGAGTGGAGCAGTTCACATCCTGAGCAAAAACTAACTGCTGTAATCTTAAAATAGCCAATGGGCAGTGCAAGACACTGTGTGGCTCCAGATTGCTGCTGAGTGGGGCGTCCTGTGTTAATGAGCACCTGTTCATGTGCACAGCCTAGAGGGAACACTGCCTTGAGGACATCAAGTCCTAATTAGCTCACTCTGCCTCTCCTATGGCAAATCTGTGCTAACAAGTGAATGCCCCAGTTCATTGTTCATTGAAACTATCACCCCTTTTGCTTATGCCTAGGGCAACTCTACTGATAGCCTACCATGTAGGGGCAGGAATATTTCTGGAAACTGCATCCTTTTGCCTCACCTGCACAACCTCCTCAGCCATTTGGGGGATGGAGATGGTAACAGCCTTTTGCTCTTCTGGTGGCCATATTGTTGAACCACTTGCTAGACTCCATGGTGAACACGGTAGAAAATTCTACAGTCACAATGGCCTGGAAAAGATATTGGACATGGGGTGGGGGGAGCAAAGGATTATACTAGTTGAGAGTAAGAGGTGATATAGGCCTGTCTATAAGAATAGGCTGACAGTTCCTTGCTCCTGCTTAGGGACTTCAAATTTGAGGTTTCTCCTCCTTGACTCAAAACTGAAATCACTACTGCTGGTTAGATGCAAAATCACAAGCCACGTAAATAGCTTTTATTGGGACCAAGCAAAACACCACAACATGGTGTACAAGATTTTTAGTTTGGGGGGGAATAGTTTTCTCAGACTATGATTTTATGACATCCTGTTATTCAGGATAATCCCTTGTCATGCTGGGAACAAGCAAAAACCAAAACCAGGAAGCCATCCAACAAACAGTTGGATTAATTTGAATTTGCTAAGTAATGAGTCAATGTAAGCCAACTTTGCATAACATTGCTGGGTTAGAACTTGCTGTCCCAGGCAAACCATTATTAAGCACAACTGCCAGTGTTCTTGATACAGCTCCACATTGAATTGGCCAGTTTAAGGAATCACAGAAAATAATCTTTTGGCAATGCACATATTTGTATATTTCATCTATAAGGCTAAGGAATTACTTTTATCTATATTTAGAGCAGGGAAACAGACCAGTCACCTGCATATGCAAAGTGATGATTTTGGACTGGGGGGGACAATCTGGATTCTTCTCTCCAGCATAACCATCCAGTTTGTTAAATCTGTTCTGCACCATGTTGTATTGGTTGGGTAATGGACTGGCTTCTCACAAGCACTCCACATTGTTTAGATCTGGAGGTGTGCTTGAGCCAGACTTCATCAGGCTAAGGCCTTGCCGGTACCACAGCTGTTGCTCTAAGAGCATTTTTACAACCAGTCGCAATGTCCCACACTGGAGATAAACTCAGAGGTACACTGCGCAATACACTTGTGCACATTTACTACTTTTTCCAGCAGATGGTACCTCATTTATTTGTTTGTTAGGAACTTTTGCAGTCTTCCCAATGGTGGGGCATTACTGGTACTCATTCTCATCCTGTGCCTGTTTCATTTGCTCATTCCCTAGCTGTAGCTCTTCCAAAAGGTCTTGCCCTTGATGCTTGTAACACAATGCTCACAGTTGTCTGCTATTATCCTTGCATGGTTTATGCTTAACAAATGTGTTATTCAGACTAGCAAAATTAATAGGTATTCTGCCTGTGAATACACTGATTCTGGTCCCGTCTCACCTAGGGAGCACCTCCACCTGGTGCTCATCTCTGCTGGCCCTAATGTCACTATATATGCACATGTATTCTAAAAACAATACATCACAAAGCCAAGGAAACAGCCTGAAAGCCTTGTTTTTATATGTTCCACAGTGAACATGAACAAAAGTCAGACCAACCCTATATTATTTTGCAAGCCACAAAAGTAAAATATACCAATTGTTCAGTAGTTTACAAATCGTTATGCAATGGAAGTACACCGACATAACAGATCCCGTAAAACAGAATAAAAAGGCTCTTCCCAAGAGGAAAAAAGTTACTGACACTAGACCATGAAAGGTTACGGAATTAAGAGCTATTAACATGTGCAAATTGTTTGCCAAAAAGCTCTTCGGTATTGCTGCTCCCAAGAAATTCCTCCTCGATAATGTATGGTTTAGAAAACTGGTAAAACCACAATTTTCCTGGTTGTACTTTATACATTCTACAAAGTTTAACATTTGTACCCCAGAGGTGTATAATAGTTCAATCCAAAGGTAAGGGACTCATTTGAAAATACAAAACCTGCAAATGTATTTACCTTCTCTAGCCATGTGCTTTTACTTTTTTATACAGCAGCAATGCATTCCCATTAGGATGCTACAACAGTTAACAGGTTTTCCTCCTACATGACAAGGGTCAGCAGGCTTGCTTTTGGGTTTTCTTTAAAGCAGACTTTGCTTTAGTACTGCAACATGTGTTATACCTTCCAGTTTTAACCAAAAGTGCACACAGCAGCCATTCACATCTATCAGGTGCTGCCCTTTCCCATTTACAGTGGCAGGATTTATTTGGTCTTCTTTTCTTTCACATGTTCCTGTTTCTTCATTTTTTCGACATAAAATTGGTACTGAGAGTCTGTTCCAAAGATTTTATCCCACCATGTGAAGGTTGAAGAATAGTTGCCAATGAAGTTCATGTGATGGAAGTCATGAAAGCGAGCCCCACCATAGAAAGGCACCAAATGCAAAGGATTCAGAGGAATATCATAGCCACTATTGGGGAGGAAAAAGTGAGACACATTTTACAATAGTGATACAAAACCATTTTTCACATTTCCTTTACAGTGAAACAGGGCTAGCAGTTTATAAATTTATGTGTTTCTCTAACAACTATATTTTAAAACTTCTAAAAATCTACCCCTATTCTACTGGATCACAAACTTCTGAAGCAACAGATGTACATATGAAATGCTTTAGGGAAATAAATTCAGGCGTACACATCTTATCTCTGCATAAACTGTGCACAGAATATATTCCCTGCAAGACAATAATGCACAGTTAGGCCATGGGAAGAGCTCTATAAATAACAGAAAAAAACAGCCAACCAATATATGACAAAGAAGTTTGAGTAAAAGGTGTTCTCAGGGAGAAGAGAGAAGAAAGACAAGTACAATATTAAGGCATAACTCCTAGGTCCCATTAAATTTGGAGTTACACATGTATATAAGTTTTTCCCACTGAAATTGATGGAACTTATACTGGTTGGTAAATCTAGTAACTTGAGCACTTTTCACATCCTGAATGCTTACAGGTGCTGAGTTGATCTTGCCTAACAACAAGATGGGAGATCAGCATCTGTGCCCCTAGGTACTTCTTACCTGGCTCCCAAAGTTCTACTTGTAAAACCACAACAGCCTGCAGCTTTCCCTTCTGGGTGTTTGTAAGCAGTTGCACTGTGACAGCTTGTTCTAGCAAAGGTGTGGTAATTGACAGATCAGAGTGGAATCAAACCAGTAAAAGTTAGAGGCTTAGCTTGTCTATTCAAGTGCAATGATACATACAAGGTTTGTATATCCAGGTTACCTCCAGATTTTACTGGGGCACTCCACATTAGCAGAGTAGTTATGCATCACATTGTGCAGCAATCCTTTATTTATGAAGTCAATTGGCCTTTTTGCCCAAACACTGTCAAAATATTGCATTAAATCCAACCACCGATAAAAATGGAAAATGAGATTCTCTTTGACCACCACCAAAAAAGATATGCCGGGGATCACAAGACCTGCACATAAAAAAGACACCTAGGACAGGAGCTGCAGTGAGAGAGAGAACTGGGCAAGACTGAATGAAAAAGCTGACTGCATCCAACCCATTGTGCAAAGTTGTTGGCAGGGAAAATGCAGACTAGCTCATTTGAAGAACTACAGTCACCTAAATGCAGAAGCAAGTGTCTCTAAACCAGATAAAACATATTCCCTATACACATAGGATCCCTGTCTTAAATTCACACTTTTAGAAGGAGGCATTAAGTCTTTAATTGTTACACACAAACCCTATGTAGACGTTAGTTGCTCTGAGTTTGAACATAGAGAGTCTGTAATAAGCAAAATAAGTATATTTACCTGTGGACGTCAATAGTCTCCAGCAAGCGACAAATTACCCATGCCCACAAAAGAATCACATGATTACAGAAGAGTACAATTCCAATAAAAAACCCAGTCCCAAGGATAAGAGTTTCCAGAGGGTGGGCATATTCTGCTTGCATCCCAAATGGAGCCTAAGGAGGGAAAAAACATGGATTTTAAAGGGAAAAAAAAAACTTATGTGTCAACGCCTAAATCGATACTAGTAATTTAAGTTTGGCATGTACACAAGAAGGTACACATGAGCAGGTCCTGTAAAAGAATCCCCCCCCCCTTTCATACTTGGGTGGTCCCAAATTTACCATTATTTACAAGACATGCAGAGAAAAAAAAAACTTATGTGTTAACGCCTAAATAGATACTAGTAATTTAAGTTTGGCATGTATACAAGCAGGTACACATGAGCAGGTCCTGTACAAGAATCCCCCCCCCCTTCATACTTGGGTGGTCCTAAATTTACCATTATTTACAAGACATGCAGAGAAGTAAATAGAATCCAAAGTCTAGGCAATTTCACTGCCACCAACCCTCATTTTTAAAAACAGCCAGAAGGAAAAGGTGCTCCTTCAAGCATGTTATGTGCTCAGTGTTCCAGAAGTACATTTGTCATTTAAGACTTAGGAAGACCCTTAGACCCCCCCCCCCAGCAAAACAAAAGTACCCTAAACATTTGGTTGCCAGCTGGTAGAATAATTCCTACAGGTGGGTCACATCCCAATCTGAAGATTGTAGTATTGGCAGAAACATCATTTGCTTTAATTTATCTCAAATGTATTTGTTGCTTCAGAAAGTCAATGCAAAGAAAGCAACTAAATGCATCCTCTATGTTAAAAAGTTGTGTAGAAGAGAGGGCGGTTCTCTCACCCTTGAACAACAAGCTGCATCGATCTATGTAACCAATGAAGTTACCAGAGCCCTGTCCTACCTTTCATTTGGTCACTCTATACACCAAAGCAAGTACACAAAGACAAGTATGGATTACAAAATAAATACGTGCTCTTATATTGCAGTTTACAAAGGTAGAAAAATACTGTGTTAATGGTACCTGGCTATCAATAATATAGCAGGTACACTGCATTAATGCATAGGACACAACACAAAGCAAATGTGAACTGGCTTCATATTGTTGGTATCTGTGATAGGGATGTGCAATCCCCCCCCCCTTTTTTGTTTGGGTATACTGAACTGAAACAAATTTCAGGGTTCCCAAAAAATTACAGATCCCAATACTGGTGTGTTATTTGGAATCAGGATTTTTCAGAAATCCTGAATTTTTTCAGGTCCAATGGACCAGAGAAGGAAACAAAAATGAAAAAATTGCACACCACAAGCTGTGCCCACAGGGAGCAATCTGCTCCCCAGGGGCAGAGCTGATCCTGGGCTGACTTCTCTTGCAGCCTGGTTTAAACAGGGCTGCCAAGAGGATCCAGCCCCAGGCAAGGCAGTGCAGAGCTCTCAGCTCCCGCCGCCCTGGCAACAATGAAAGAGGACAAACTGCACACTAGAATTAAGAAAAGGACTGAAAATAAAAAGTATCACAGTGCCTTACCTACATTTGTAACACAACTGAATTTAGAATTCTAGACAGCCCACCTGAAAAAGGATATTGTGCAGCTTGAAAACCTGCAGAAAGTAGCCAAAATATCTAGGGTTCAGCACACTTTTCCTATGATGGCTAAAGGGTCTGAGATTGACTGTAGACTGTAGTTTCTTGTAATAAATTCAGATGTCATGTTGATTTTTTAAAAATACAAGAAGAGATTGGATTTATACCCTGCCCTTCACTACCCAAAGGCGTCTCAGAGCGGCTTACAAACTCCTTTCCCTTCCCCTCCCAACAACAGACAACCTGTGAGGTAGGTGGGGCTGAGAGAGCTTTGACAGAATCTGCTCTTTTTCAAGAACAGCTGTGCCAGAACTATGGCTTGCCCAAGGTCATCCAGCCAGGTGCAAGTGAAGGAGTGGGGAATCAAACCCGGTTCTCCCAGAGTAGAGTCCGTGCACTTAACCACTACACCAAATATAATAAATTTTTATTGGTGAGAAGTCTGTGAAGTGCTTTCGACCCTTTTGGGCTATTGAGTTGGCGATGAGGTCCACTGTTCTAGGAAGGTAGGCATTTTACAGAGAACATCTACTAGGATTTCTGGGCTCTGGGAGCGGGGCAGCAGCTACCACTGATGTGTTCTACCATTCAGGGAGTAGTACTAAGATACTGAAAAATTCCTGTTTATGAAGCCATTCAGTCCTGGCACGGTTGCATTCCCTGTAATATCAAGTTCAAGGAACTGGAATGCTACAAAATTCAGTGTATCCTTGTCTCTTCTTCGCATTGCCAGAAGGATTTAATTACAGATGTCCTATACATTCATGCACCCACAGCCCTTTTACATTAACTATGCAAGCATGAAAAGTTAAGGCTATACATACAACAAACTCATGATGCACTTTGTGGATGTATTTGTATAGTCTCTTGTGATGCAGGAGTCTATGCAGAAAATAATGCCAGGTATCCTCAATCACCGCACACCCTGGCGATGAGGTCCACTGTTCTAGGAAGGTAGGCATTTTACAGAGAACATCTACTAGGATTTCGGGGCTCTGGGAGCAGGGCAGCAGCTACCACCGATGTGTTCTACCATTCAGAGAGTAGTACTAAGATACTGACGAATTCCTGTTTATGAAGCCATTCAGTCCTGGCACGGTTGCATTCCCTGTAATATCAAGTTCAAGGAACTGGAGTGCTATAAAATTCAGTGTATCCTTGTCTCTTCTTCACATTGCCAGAAGTATTTAATTACAGATGTCCTATACATTCATGCACCCACAGCCCTTTTACATTAACTATGCAAGCATGAAAAGTTAAGGCTATACATACAACAAACTCATGATGCACTTTGTGGATGTATTTGTATAGTCTCTTGTGATGCAGGAGTCTATGCAGAAAATAATGCCAGGTATCCTCAATCACCGCACACCCAAAACATTGGGCAACTATCACAAACCTATGAAAAAAAGGGGGGGGGGACACTTGTTAGGGTGAGGTTAAACAGAAAATCCCCTCTCCACCCTGTTTCTCCTGTACCTCTGCAGTTGGACACAAAAACAATACTGCATTGCCTATGAAACATATAACCTGCCACTGAATATTTGCAAACCAGTAAGAATTAGAATCTTCCCATTATGTCTCTCTTAAATAAATCTAGCAGAGAATTTTGAAACATGAGAAAGACACTTGACAAAAATGAAAGGGCACATAGGTGTGTATTAAGTGCCATCAAGTCAGTTCCGACTTATGGCAATCCTGTGAATTAATGATCTCCAAAACATTCTATCTTTAACAGCCTTGCTCAGGTGCACATTCAGAGGCAACCAACCTCTGAACAGCAGTGCCAGGAGGCAACATCAAGGGAAGGCCTCAGCCTCTATGCCCTCTTGTTGGCCCTTCAGAGGAACTGGTTGGCCACTGTGTGAGACAGAATGCTGGACCAGATGGACCACTGGTCTGATCTAGCAGTGATCTTATGTTCTTGACAAACTGAGGGCCCTTGTGGCTTCCTTGATTGAGTCCATCCATCTCATACTGGGTCTTCCTCTTTTCCTGCTGCCTTCAACTTTTCCTAGCATGTCTTTTCCAATGACTCGTCTCGTAATATGATCAACATACTATAGCCTCTGTTTAGTCATTTTAGCTTCCAGGGAGAGTTCAGGCTTGATTTGATCAAGAAACTACCGGTTTGTCTTTTTGGAAGTCCACAGTATATGTAAAACTCTCCTCCAACACTGTACAAACAAATAAGTTTTTGCTTGTCAGCTTTCTTCATTGTCCACCTTTCACATCCATAGATAATAATGGGGAATACTACAGTACGAATTATCTTGGTCGCCAACAACACATCCTTCCTTACACAAAAATCTTTTCTAGCTCCTTCATGGCTGCCCTTCCCAGTCTCAAACTCCTTCTGATTTCTTGGTTGTAGTCTCCCTTTTCGATGATGATGATGGAGCCAAGGAACAGAAAACCTTGAACAATTTCAATTTTATCATCATCAACCTTAAAGTTGTGTAATTTCCCAGTAGTTATTACTTTGTGTTCTTGATGTTCAACTGTAATCCTGCTTTAATTTTCATCAGGAGTAGTTTCTTCACTATTTTCTGCTACTAAGATGGTGTCATCTGCATATCTCAAATGGTTAATGTTCCTACCACCAATCTGCACTCCATGTTCATCTAAATCTAACCCATGTTTCCTTATATGTTCTGCATACAGATTGAAGAGACAGGGAAATAAAATACATTCTTGTCTGGCAGCTTCGCCAAATGGAAACCATTCTGATTCTCCATATTCTATCCTAACAGTAGCCTCTTGTCCAGAGTACAGGTTGTGCATCAGAACAATCAGATGTTGTGACACGCCCATTTCTTTTAAAACCATCCATAGCTTTTCATGATCTAGACCAGGGGTGGCCAAACTGTGGCTCAGGAGCCACATGTGGCTCTTTCACACATATTGTGTGGCTCCCAGCAGGGCGGCTGGGGAAGCGAAGGGGAGGCATGCCTCCCCGATCGGTCTTCCCTTCCCCAGCCAGTGTTCTTCTCCCTCTCCCTGGGTAGGCTTGAGGTGTGTGTGTGGGGGGGAAGCAAAGAAAGAAAGCAACTTTAAATGCGTTCTCAAAGCCCCACCCCCACCCCGGCCGGCTTAAAGACAGCATTTGTCTCTTTAAGTATCATTATCAATATCTGTTCGTACCCCTTTTGTTGTTTGTTTCTGGCAGTCTTATTTAATGTTAATAAAGCAAATTTGCATGTTTTCTAATAAAAGCATGTGAAATATTCGTTCATGTCTTGCTGTTTTTACCCCTTTTGTTTTTATTTCTAGCAGTCTTATTTAATGTTAATGTTAATAAAAAGCAAATTTGCATATTTTCCAATTAAAACGTGTGTGTAATATTTGTTCATGTCTTGCGGGGCTCTCAGATATCTGATGTTTCTTCAATGTGGCTCTTACATTCTACAAGTTTGGCCAGCCATGATTTAGACAGTCAAAAGCTTTGCTATAATTTATGAAACAAACTGATTATCTTCAGAAGAAATAACCAAAGTAAGTTTGTGACCTCCAGTGCCTCCATGGCCACATACAAAACAAAAAAGACCTATTTATATAACCTGTAATATAACGTAGATACAATTTCATTTTGTATGGTACAATAGCCATATGATACGGTTGCTGAAAACTTTAAAAATGCTTACAGCAGATTATTTTTGCAATCTTTTCCTCGGTTTTCTGGGGGATGCATAAAAGCAGGCAAGCTACCAGTAGCTCATGAGGTACTTGTTGGAAATCCCTGATCTAAAGAAATAAATGATATATTAAAAAGCCTTACAGCTACTGGTGGGATGTTTTACTAGAGTTTTCCCAAGGAATCAATGAGAAATCTTCTGACCATTTCCACACAGGTTATCTGCCCCAGACTCAATGTTGCTGGATAGCAGGGTTCTCCCCCCGCCCCCGCTTCCTCACAGCCTCATGGTGCATTCATGCACTTCCCAGAAATCCCCCAGCTTTTCTTTAATCTTTCTAAAACCTCCTTTGCTGCAAAGTTTTGGGAACAACTGCAGTAAAGCCTGGCTTGCTGCTGTGTGAGTGTGAAATCTGGATTTCCCTGCCCACTTGGGCAGCCATTTTCTCCTACACTGTCACTGTGGTGGCCATATCCCCCCAGATGCTTTTTTGGGTTTTTTAAATCTGCATTTTCATATTATTACAGCTCTATACCACTGTAATAATGTGTAACAGGTTGTCTTGGCTCCCCCCCCCCCAATAAGTAAGTCTCTGTTGTGGAGATATAAAGCGAAGGTGCTAGAGATTTACTTTGCTTTAAAAAAAACGAAAGCTAAGAATTCAGAGAACCTATTACACTATACTGGTGTAATGATATTTACTATTAAAAAACTGAAAAAGCCCCAAAGGCCTCAGGTGGGTGGTGGCCACTGCTGAGTAATTGTGGCACAGAAACGTGCCATGTGGAAGTCCCATTAGCACTGTGCTGTATCGGCAGACACATTAATAATAGGGAAACCACACAAGCCTGTCTTATGTGGAAACCTCCTTCAAAGATAATAAAAATTAATAAATGCAAAGGGGAAAAACACTTGCACATTCCCTCTGTGAAGAGATATAAATGCTGCAAGATCACACTGCTACTTCTGACGATGCTCCCGTAAACAAGGCTGTAATTTGTAATGAAAAGAATGATTTGAAAGCCACAAGGAAAGTTCTGCTTGAAACTACTAAGAGACTGGAATGTATTTCTAGTTCTGAAGTCTTGTGTCCAGTGAAACTGAGCGTTTGAGCGCCCTGAAGGTTTGAGTGACCGAAGCTCAAGAGGCAGTCTGCCCTCTCCAACCTAACTGCATAAGGCTGCTAATGTAACAGAAGTCCCCCTTTCTTACCATCTCGGCATGTGGTCCCAGTCATAAGGAATGTTGAAATATTCTGTGAAATAGTAAGTGCCACAGATCAAAGGCAACTGAATGAAGAAGTGATTGAACATAATCGTTTTGAAACACCTCCATTGTCTTTCCCATGTTTCTGGCTTATCCTGTAAATAAAAAATTAAGTCTTTAAAGCTGATTTCATAAATAGAAATAGACTATTCCGACACCACCAGTATTCAAGATATAACTAAAGCTCAACGAGGACAGCTCCTCCTATTGGTACAAATGTGCTTCAACTGAGATTACCCCCAAAATGCAGGTTGGCTTTAGGACATGACAGAAACCAAGTGAAAGCCAACAGAGAATAAGTCAATCATCTTTGCTGCTCTGATTATCAAGGTCCTTTCAATCTCAGATCTGCATCTTGATGTTAATTCTCTAGCCAGTTACCATCCGGTTACTTTTGGAGGCGCAGGAGTAAGGAAAATTAGCTTCTTGGCCTATACAGAGTTCTTTCTTGCCTGAATCCTTCCCCACACACTCAACTTCTCTCCTAGTCAGTTGTCAAAACCCATTGTAGTGCTGCCAACAGCCCAGTTATTCATTACACCACTAAGGGCACTTCTTAATTCTCTTTACAAAAAGTTAAACAACCCATCTTAGGCAGAGAATAAATCTGATAGGGCTTCTTGACATTTCATGTGAAGTGGTCTTGCAGGAAGGAAATACCCAGAAACCTCTCTTACTCATATGTTACCATAATATAGAAGAGGAAAGGCAATTTGAAGATTCTGCAACTGGTAACAAACATAAAGGAATTTCATATTTACATATCAATAAAAAGGTTTCTGACTGAGGATGAAAATGTTGGCTTGCAGATCAAAAATAGAGCTCATCAAAGTTAGCCAAGAAAACTCCCCAAACGCAATGAATAAAACCTTTGCTTCTCTATAAATGGTATTGGTGTTTGAGACCTATCACACCTGGATAACTGTTTTATGGGCTTAAGATGATATGTTGCTCAACCTGAAAAGCACTCTAAGGCTGAATGTGCTGCCTGAATTTACTGGGCTGGGTCCATTCCAGAACACCACCAGAGGAGTGATGGTAGCACAGCAGGATGTACCCACCATCCCCACTCCCCTGAAATTCTACATTTGGGGGCTCAAGAGACTCTCAAGTACAGCATGGGGAGCGCAAAGCAAGAGTCTGCCACTGGAAATGGAAAGTGGCAGAAACTGCCCTCTCCTCCTTCAACAGTGAAGTGCCATTCCAATGGTGCCATAATACATTTAGAGCCAAACCAAAGCCAAGGCAGTTTTCAGATCAACAGGAGATATATTATGGTTCACAGGATTCAGGAGATGTATGGCTTCATAGTTCAAAGCCAGCACACTGTTACAAATGGTCTTATCTGATAGCAGTAGATCCTTAAACGGTGATGCATGTTAATCCCACCAGGAAGTAAGTTACCTACAATACTTTTGTAGTTAGCCACTTGGTTGAGTAGATATCAAATATTAATCTTTTATTGCATATGACCCCTGTATTTTGTATTACAATGTTTAACAATAATCAAGTTATATGTTAATTCAGTTCTCCTGTCTTTCCAAAGACCCTTTAGGCAACCTTCAAAAATATAGCCCGCACATGTGAAGGGGAGGAGTATGGGTGGAGAGATACACTGACAAGGGAATTCCAAGTGAAATCACAGTTCATATTTCTCATATGAAACAAATAAAAACCCACCTTACCTGTTGTATTTTATACTTTTGCATGTAAGGTATAAACTGAAATACAAATCCAGGGAAGCAAATGAAGAAATATGCAAACTCATGGACAAGAAGGGACCCCCAGGTTGCAATCTGGAACTTAGTATAGTTATTCAGCATAGACATCCAAGCATTTTTAAATGGCTGCTGTAGCGGGTTCTGGGGCAAGAAAGAGTCTAGATATTCTACAGCCAGGTAAGCAGAATTCAGTATGCCAACACTTTCGTTCGTTGCCATCATTCAGCTCTAGAACATTCCAATTGTAGCTCCTCTGCAGGACTTAGGAATCTGCAAAATGGTCAGACAACATTATTGATAACTCTCATAAGAACATAAGAACATAAGAGACGCCAAAGTTGGATCAGGCCAAAGGCCCATCCAGTCCAACACTCTGTGTCACACAGTGGCCAGAAATACCAGTGCCATCAGGAGGTCCAGCAGTGGGGCCAGGACATTAGAAGCCCTCCCACTGTTGACCCCCCCCCAAGCACCAAGAAGACAGAGCATCACTTGCCCCAGAGCCCCTAGCTATACCTTGTGGCTAATAGCCACTGATGGACCTCTGCTCCATATGCTTATCTAATTCCCTTTTGAAGCCGTCCATGCTTGTAGCACCCACCACTTCCTGTGGCAGTGAATTCCATGTGTTAATCACTCTTTGGGTGAAGAAGTACTTCCTTTTATCCGTTCTAACCCGACCGCTCTGCAGTTTCATGGAGTGCCCACGAGTTCTCAATAGCAGTATAGCTGAAGAGAAGAGGAGACTGGATTTATACCCCGCCCTTCACTACCCAAAGGTGTCTCAGAGCAGCTTACAAACTCCTTTCCCTTCCACTCCCCACAACAGACATCCTGTGAGGTAGGTGGGGCTGAGAGAGCTCTGACAAAAACTGCTCTTTTTCAAGAACAGCTGTGCCAGAACTACGGCTTGCCCAAGGTCATCCAGCAGGTACAAGTGGAGGAATGGGGAATCAAACCCGGTTCTCCCAGATTAGAGTCTGTGCACGTAACCACTACACCAAACTGATGATACATTAATGATCAAACAGTAAAATGGACAGTTTTTCAAGATGTACATACTGTGCACAACAAGGGGAATAAAAGTTTTGTACAGCTTGGCATAAACAAAGAGCAAATATAATTCCTTAACTCGATATCCTCCGGATAATAAGGGAAGGGGAAAAGATCATACACATCCAGGCTGCACGCACAAATTGCTGGAAACATTATTTGCCTCCTAAATTCTCTTGTCTTCAAAGGAAAATCCAGTTATGGGTTTGCTACAGCACAACAACATCTACAATATCTAACAACCCATGGATGCAGTCACACAGAGAGTGGTAGGGTAACTCATGTGCTTGGAAGGTTCCACGTGCCTATGTGCCTCTTTTTCCTCTCACACTGTGATTCCTATTTTGCAGCAAACCATAGTATCCTGTTAAATCTGAACTGGCAAACTATGGCTTGCACTTGCCTGAAAAGCAGAAATACAAACCGCCTGGTCTTACACCTAAGCGCTCATATCCCTGAGCAATTATAATATAGAACTGCTTGTTTGGAGCACAGTTCAGTTCAGTTCACTTTTATTGGCATAAAATACCTTAAAATTGTTTGGAGCACAGTCCTGAACTATGCAGGTGTACCTAAATCCCACTGAAACAAGAGGGATCTCTATGTAGAACTTTGGGAATACAGGCCATTGGGTGGAGCAATGAAACGACTCAATTTGCATATTGGGAGGAGTGTGTGTAGCTGGGAAAAAACACAGCTGGGTAGGATGTGGAGCATGAGGCCTAGTCAGTATTTTTCTCTTTCCAAGGACTGAATTGCTGAATGGCCTCAGCTAAAGAAGCCTGGTGCAGGCCCTCCCTTTATTGAAATCACTTCTTGTGGAGGAGGTTAGCCCCCCAGACCATCTATCTTTGAACTGAACGACCACTATTAATATCTGTGGTGGAGGCTGGCTGCAGTGAGTTCCAAGAAAAACCAACAAATAACAACTGTGTACTGACCAACCCACCCAAGAGCAATAGAAAAGAGACTTCAATACAATACAAGTCTATATAGGAATGACAACCTGGCCTATACGCTCTAGAATTTCAGAACATAAATCTAGATTTAAATCAAAAAAGGGGGACACGTATCTAATCCAACATTTTGTTGAAAAAAATCATAAACATGATGATTTCAAATATACAGTTTTAGAAACTATAGAGGATGATGGAAAAAAAAAGATGTACAAAAAATACTGCTGCAAAGGGAAGCACACTATATATATTCCATTGGAACCTTACAACCTAAAGGATTAAATTCTGAACTGGCCTCCAGTAATACATCTTCTGGGAGGCTAGGTGTATACCTACTTGAAGGACATGTAACTGTTTTAACCCCTATATTTGACCTAGCAGGTTAATTTAAGACTCCCAATATCATATTAACTTGATAGTGTGATTATATAACAGATTCATTCGGTGGACATCTCCAGAAATTGGCTGCCTGGAGATGACAACCTGAAGTACTTAGGTAAATAGGGGGGGTTACACCTTTAAGAGTCAATAGGATAGCACCAGCTGTGCTCAATGTATATTTATAAAATGTAACTGTAAGTTAGCTACTCTGAGGCTGTTTGGTCCAACTTACATAGTAGCAACCCTTGCAGGTGCTTTCTAAAATATTTAGGAGACCT